GCTTTTGGAAAAAAACTATTGTCAACAACCAGGAAAGCAAGTTCAAGCTTGAGAAGTCGTTTTAGAATGTGGCGTAAGAAGAGAAAAGAGTAGAATAGGAATTACTTTCTTACTGTGAATCTGGTCAAAAGTTCATTCTGCTTTGGAGTTTAAAAATAGGAATCCATACTGTGAATGTAACATGTACCAATTGGAACTTGCATTTGGTAAAGTTTAACAGAAATGAGTAGCTGGGTTCCAAGCAAGACTGGCTCCACCTTCCCTTTCTGAATGAGATTAATTAATTGATAATTTTATTAACTATGTGGATTTTACCACTTAACAGTTTCATAAACTTGAGAAGGAAAAATGGGCCCAGCAGACAAGGCCAACTATAAGGATAATTTCCAAAGTATAAAAACAACCACATTTGGAAATCTCGTGTAAGAGGAAAAACACATTAACCTCTCCTTCCTTGTAGGAACTCCTCCACAATGCTCAATGCTCATCTCACCCCTCGTAGTGCTTCTCGGCTAAATTCTCACCTCTGCTACTTGTCCCAAACAAGTGTTCAGTGCCTTGCTGAACCACCCTGGAGCCTGCAGCAAAATGAAAGAGGTGTGCTCCTGTGTACATGTTTTATATATTTTTATACTATTTATCTTGATTACTGAGTCTTTTGGTGTCCCCTTACATTCTGCACTGAGGCCAGTGCCTCACTCAACTCTCCCTAATCTTGTCCAAAGGTCCCAAAGGCCTAACCTCCACTCTCTTCTCACCTGAACTGTCTTCCTAGGCAATTCAACCCACAGGCTTTTAACTACCTACATATATTCAGATGATTCGAAACTCTTCACCTCCATCCTTGATGCCTTTACTGAGCTATAACTTTCATAACTAAACAGGATGTCCCACAGGCACATATCTAATAATTGGCTGTCTTTAATGCCTTCTTTATTATTTTCACCCAGGATATTTTCTGATTTGTAACATGTTCAGGTCTTAAAAAATTGCTAATGGAAAATGAGTGCAAAATATTTATGTAATTAGGATGGTTCAACATTTTCAAAAATGGCAAAAATAAACAGCAGTTATGGAAACACCTGCTTAAAAAATACTGGAAATAACTGTTTCGTGCTTCATTAACCAGTATAAACACATTTGCCAGGTTAAATCTCCTACTGAATTCAGAATTTCCAATTAGAACTAGAATGGTATTAAACTGCCAAGGGAAGAAATTCCTGACTAACAAATTTCAGAACTGCCATTCTTAGGGGCACTTTCACAGGTCAAAAAGATGCTTATTTTCTAAGAAGATGCCTATTTTCTAATTTATTTATTAAAACCAAATTTGTATCTATTTTAATAGACAATTTTAGACTACTTATTTTGCAGATTTTATTCACCTTTGGGTAGTATTCAGCACAGTGCCTGAAATATGGTTGCTTCAAAGACCAAAGAAGAAAGAAGGAAGAAAGGCAGACAAGGAGAGAGAACTATATAACAGCTCAGAAAAAACTTCTTCTCTGGGACTCCAAAGAAACCCAACCAATAAGCAGAGAATAATAAGTCAGTGATTTTCTAAATCAAATCAAAACAGAATATTGTAAAGTCAAAGTAAAAGAGTCAGAAAATCAAATCAATAAAAAATAAATAAAACTTTTATATCTGGTGATCAGAGACTTGGCTGAAAATGTACATTTTTGGTGTCTTCAGAAATGATGTAAGATCAATGGCCATAAATGTGACAACCATTGCAATCCCGTTTCCCTAACTTTGATTATCTATTTTCTCATGATCTTATTTGACTTTTCTAAGGAGGCTAGGGGATATACTGGAAAGGACACACTAGAGTCAGAAGACCAGACTTCTAGATCTGTCCGCGACATTAAATAATTTTAACAAGCTTAAGTAAATTATTTAAGATTTTCAGCATAGTCTTCCTCATCAATAAAACAAGGAAACAAATCGGAGTTGTTCATTTGCATCACAGTAAAAATCAAAAACAATATGTAAAGGTACTCCGGAAACTGTAGCACTTTACAAGAAAATATGTAATGCTTATGTCTACTATGCAAAAAATGCATTAAAGAAGGGTGATATTTATTCATGTATTCATTCAACAGATATTTAGTGAGCACTAACTAGAATCTGGGAGCACAGCTAATGAAACAAAACATATAATGAACAAAACACAAAAATCCTTGTTCTTTTAGACTATATTCTAGTGGGAAAAGACACAATAAGTGCTATAACAGACAGTTATAAGTGCTATTAAAAAATTAAGCAGAGAAGTCTAAGTAGAGTTACATAGGGGGGCTGGTTACAATTTTAAACAGGGTAGCTGGAGAAGGCCTTGCTGTGGTGACAATCATACAAAGCAAATTGTACAAACTCTGAGTAAACTGGAAAATCACTATAAGATTCCAAGCAGAGGAATTTTTAAAGGATTCCTCAGATGTATTAATAAGAAGAGACTCTACCAGGAAAGGGCATAAGCATAGAAACCATTTCAAGGCTATTAAAATAATCCAGGTGAGTGATAATGGTGGTAGCTTAGAAAGATTGACATGGTTAAAAATGGTGAGAGATAATCAGGTTCTGTATATATCTAAAGGCATAGCCAAAAGGATCTTCTAATTAATTAGGTATGGAAGGTGAGAGAAATAACAAAATTGGGAACTCAGATATTTTGCTCCTAGTGATAGAATAGATGGTGATGACTTCAGGAAGAATAGGTTTTGAAGGTAAAATCATATTTTGGATTTTCAACATATTAAATTTGAGATGCCTATTAGACATGCAAATACACAGAATAATCATTAAATACAGTGACGTTTCGAGCTTTTTCATGTAACATAGATTGTGAATATTTCTCCAGATTGTTAATTTATTTCAAAAATAATTTTAATGGTTGCAAAATTTACCACTAAATGGATTTGTCCTAATATACTTAACCATTGCCCAGTGGTTAGAATGTAGTGGGTTTTCCCCTTCATGTTTCTATATTGAATACATAATATTGGGACAATCCTCTTTCTACTTAATTCTTTATCTACATTTGTAATTCTTTTCTTAAGATGGTTTACTAGAAGATGAATTGCTGGGTGTGTTTTTGATCATTTAAAGGCATTGTTATGATCCAAACTGTAGCCTCCTAAATTCATATGTTGAAGTCTTAACCTCTCTACCTCAGAATGTACCTGTATTTGGAGATGATAGTCTTTAAAGTGGTAATTAAAATAAGGTCATTAGGGTAGGTCCTAATCTAGTGCGACTGGTGTCATAAGGGGAAATTTGGACAGGCATGTACAGAGGGAAGACCATGTAGAGACACAGGAAAAGACAGCCATCTAGAAGACAAGAGAGAAGCCACTGAAGAAACCAACCTGCTGACACCTTGATCCCAGATTCTCAGCCTCCAGAACATTAAGAAAACAATTTCTGTTCTTTCACCGGCCAGTCCATGGTACTTTGTCATGACAGCCCAGCAAACTAACACAGGTGTAATAAGTACTGTCAAAAATATTATCCAATTGCTTTCTAGGAAATTGTGCCAAGATATTTATTTAATGGAGAAAGCCCATCTCACTGCATCTTTGCCAATTATAAACAATATGATAAAATATTCTTTTTATTCAATTTAGAAGATAACATTATGGAATAAAAAAGGTAACTTCCACAAAATATAATAATAACAACAATTATAATAAAGAAAGACTCTCCTTCTAAATAAAACCCTGATCACTAATTGTTTAATAATGTATAAATGAGACCTCAGAGAAGTCACTGAATTTATCTGAATCATAGTTCTCACACTTTTAAAGAGAGAGATTTAGACTTGAAAATCTTTAATGGCTTTCGATGTTCAAAAATTACATGATTTTTTTTTTTTTTTACAGTGCTCTTCAGTTGTTCATACCATTATACAGGATCATGCTTTATAGTCAGCTTATTCCTTGATCTAATATAGACCACACTAGTGTCCTTCCAGAGATCTCTACCAGGATTGTCATGGAGGAATGCAAAGCTCAAGAACTGGAGGAAGGAAAACAATTTTAAACCCAGGTCTGCTTTTAAGTGGTTGTGTTATCATCTCAGGTCATATCATTTCTCTGTATTTCTATTTTTTGCTTCATTCAAGAAACTTCGTTAGGTGGCCAGTGATAGAAAAATAAAAAATCATGTTAACAAATACATTTGCACATACCCTAAATTCCCTCCCTCAAAGAGTTTATATGTAGGAATGAAGGAAGAAGTACATAAAAATAAACTGAAATCATTATATTAGACAGTACATGTAAAGTACCAAAAGAGCTAATGTTAAATAAGCTAACATTATTAACTATCTGACTAATTAACTTGGGAAAATTAATGTTGAGGAAATTAATTTTAGGAAATCAGGTAAAAGGAAATTGCTTTATAAATGTAAAGATTTATAACCCCTAAGACAGTTTTAAATATTGCTTTGGAGGTTGTACTCACCCCCTATTTATGGTTTTACAGCCCCACCCATGTAATCACCTAATAGGTACAATTAATTAATATTCTAGCAATGAGTAATCTCAGAAATTTTTGTTCCTGCACCAAACATGAATTATTACATGTCCATATTGAACATCTCATGTCATACGTTCCCCAAAAGCATACTTTATAACAGTTTGTATATACCAGTTCACCTTTCTTCAGTTGAATTACATCTGCAATATGGAAACTTTTCCTTACCATAGCGTCATGCAAAACAATTTTAAGATAAATTTTATAAATATTTAATAAGAGAAATTTTGGCACCAAACTAAATTTATATAATGTTTAACTATTTCAAAAGGCTTTTTAAGAAGTAAAATTTAGCACACTTTTGAGATTATTCAAATATAAAATATTTAAAATAAGAAAAAAAATCACGGCTGTACTTTACACATATTTAATTGTATTTCTAAGTATATGTACAATTTTGTCTTACGATGTGTAGATATTGTAAAATAATTCTCAGTGTGAAATCATGTATCAGTGGTACTTACAAAGCAGTTCTTATCGGGATTTCTTTTCCAATGCTTCTTGTCCAATTTTTTAGCCGAAGTGGAACGCAGAGTTGCATGAGTTTGTATTCGAGGATTTAAAGCCAGGATACTCTGAAGACAGTATAAATAATGTATAAACATTTGTAAATATATCGACATTAAAAATTCAACTTATTATTTTGATATATACTAAAATATACTAAAGATGTATACTAAAAATGTTGTTTTCCCCTTATACTATTATAATACCACAACAAACTTATCTCAAGTCATCATTTATTAGGTGATATCCTAGCTGATTTTATAAGAGTATTTATTAATGAAAATATGAAGGATCTTAAAATCATAACAAATGGCTCTTAATAGAAATTCTATACTTAGTATTTTTAGATGAGAATATCAGAAAAAGAGGTATCTTATTCTAGATTTGATTTAAAATAGTATAACAATATTCCTCACTTTTAGGTTTTCAGAGTTTACAAATTGTTTTCACATGCACTATCTAATTTAACTTACATCAACTATTATCATCTCAAATGAATTCAGGGTAGTTAAGTAACCTGCTAGAGATCTCACGATTAATATGCAAAGGGACCAAATTAGGACTCAGTTTTTCTGAGAGTTGGGCTTATATTCAAATACATCCAAAGATAAAATTTACATTTTACTATGACTGTGTGAGGTATAAAGTAGAATAGAAGCCATTTAAACTACATATGTAAATAATATTATACAGCATCTGAGTAACTCAATGAAGAATTGATTTCAAAGCCCTGTCTTCGGCAAGCCTTTAAAACATAACCATTAGGGGTCACTTCCAGAGGGTGGTATGTGGACCTCTGTAGATCAACTCCCCAGCAAAACAAACATAACTGATAAAAATTAATAAAAGTAAGACACTTTTAAAGTCTCCAGAAATTGCCTTAATGTCAGACAGCAAATGAAGAAACACTTATTAAAGAAAAATCTATTAAAAGCTGGTAAGAATGGTGAGGGTCTATGGCATTTGAAGTACAAGTTGCTTCCACTCTCCACATTCCCAGTTCAGCATAACAGAAATTCCCCTCAGGTGAGTGCAGCCAAAACACAGGGACCCCTCTACCCACGGCTTCTAGTTAAGGTTGTGGTTTCTCCCAGGGAGGAGCAGGCCGTCAGTATTTCTCATCTCCTTCCCCTCTACTGCACCCCCTCCCCCGCCACACGGCTACCCACTACACTGCAGCTAAACTCCAGGAATGTGCAGCTGAGAAGTCAGGAGCTCCCTTGCTTGGACCAGTTCCCACTAACAAGGAAGAGGATCTACCTCGGGAGCAGCATGCCAACAACTCTGGGGTCCTAATCACCCTCAGCTCAGCTTACTCACAGTCTGGAGTTAGCACACTAGGAAAAGCAAACCAAAAGCAGAGGCTACTGCCTACACCAGTGCCATGCTCATAAAGCAAGGGAGTCACTCTGAGAGAAGCAGGCCACTGTCACCATCCCTAGCTCTGGGTCTGTGGCTCAGAGATTTTTCTAAAAGGAAGAGGAAGGCCATAAGAACAGACAGCTCTCCCAAAAGGAACTGACTTTATTTGACTTAGTATGTGGAGAAGTTCAAGCCTAAGGGCACTCTCAAAAACAATAAAGATCTTGATGGCAAACAACTAAGAGGAGGCTGGCAACTCCAAGACGGTAACAAACTAAATCATAAGGCAGATAGTTTACCAGAGAGAATCAGGGAAAGAAATAGCTAAGAACAGCTCCCCTGGGATCACACGAAATCTCAGATTCATCTCAAAAATTGCCCCTGCAAAGAAACTCAAATTTAATTGAATCTCACTGTAGGGCAATTTGTACCCTAAGGCATTGTCAAAAATAATAGAACAATCAACCAGAAATCAATGGAGACTAATAGCTGGGTGTGGTACCAACACAAGTAGATAGTTTAACAGAGCAATCAGGGGAAAAGGCATAGAGAGCCCTGTTAAAACCACTGTCATCACAGTTATTATGTACATGCCCAAGTCTTCACCCTATGTGAGTGCCATCAGAGGTTCACACTGTAAGGGAAATAAACTTCCCTGAAATAATCCATCAAGTCACCAGACAAATAAGCAAACAATAACAAGCCTCCATCTGGGGGGAGGAGAGGAGGTACTAGTATCCAGAATTGCTAAAATGTGTTACCTAAAATGTTCAGTTTTTAATTAAAAAACAATAAGACATTCAAAGAAATAGGATTGTGTGATCCATATAAGGAAAAAAAGCAGGCAACAGAAACTGCCTTTCAGAGGACCCAGGTGTCAAATTTATCAAAAACTTTAAAGCAGGCATTAGAAGGAAGGTATGATGACAATGTCTCAACAAATACAGAACATCCATATAGAGAAAAATTTATAAGAAAAAAGACAAATGGACATTCTGGAGCCGAAAACTGCACAATAATTAAATTTAAAAAAACTTGGTTGAGGGAGTCAGTAGTAGATTTGAACTGGTAAAAGATCAACAAACAAATATAGATCAAGAGAGATTATGCAATCTGATGAACAGAGAGAAAAAAAAGAATAAAAAGATTGACACTTAAAGATATGTGGTACACTATTAAGTAAACCAAAACATTTTAATGGGAGTACAAAGAGAGGAAAGAAAGGAGGGGGAAAAAATATAAGAAGTAATGACTGAAAACTTCCTAAATTTGATTTAAAAGAGAAAGAGAGAAAGAAAGAAAAAAACCACTTAAACTATACATCCAAAATCTCAATAAAGAGTCCACACATAAACATGGTAGTAAAAATCCTAAAACTCAACACCAAAAAGAAAGTCTTGGAAGCAGCAAGAGAAAAAAATCCTTCATGGTGTACAAGAGAACTCTAAGTTTAACAGCTGACTTCACATCCTTCACATATGGAACAATAGATGTCATAAGGTAGTGAGATGAGATTTTCAAAGTACTGAGAAAAAAAAACCTATCAACCAAGAATCTTATGCTCAAGGCAAAATAACAAAAAAGAAATAGACTTAAACGGCACTCTAAATCATTTAGACCTAATAGATATCTATAGAACACTCCACCCAACAGCAGCAGAATACACATTCTTTTCAAGTGTGCCTGGAACATTTTCTAGGATAGACCATATGCTAGGCCATAAAACAAGTCTCAAGGAATTTGAAAAACTTAAAATTACACGAAGTCATTCTCCAACCACAATGGAATGGAATTAGATATCAATAACAGAAAGAAATTTGGGAAATTCACATACAACATAAACATAGTAAACCTTATGCTGAGAGAAGCCAGTTATTAAATACCACATATTGTATAATTCCATTTATATAAAACGTCCAGAATAGGCAAATTTATAGAGACGGAAAGTAGATTGTGGTTTCCAGGAGCTGGGGAATTAGAGAAAAATGAGTCCCTGCTAAAAGGAACATGATTTCTTTTGGGGGTAATAAAATTGATTGTGGTGATGGTAGCACAACTGTGAATATATTAAAAGCCTCAGAATTCTACACTTCATATGGGTGAATGGTGTGGTATGTGAATTATATCTCAATAAAGCTGTTACCAAAAAAAAAAAAAATCACTAAATTCTACATTCTGTGGATTTCATTATATTCTCTATTTACTCTAATAAACATCTTTGGGACTTAATTTATTGGACCAATAGAAATGATGATTATTTTTAGTAATTCTTATATATAATGGACATAATATTTTTCAATCTATCTGTTTACATGTCCATATCTTCTGGACAGCAAACATCCAAGTGAGTCATAAGTCTTAAATGGTTTATTCCTTAGAAAATAATGCCAAAGCAACCTATTAATAGGAGCCAACACTAAAAATATAATTATTGTCATTTTTATACAAAAAATTAAAAATATTTTCTTATTATAAAATAAATGCAGTTTTTTTGTCTAGTAATTTAACCTTGAACCATTACTAATCTTACATTAATTCAAACCAATAAATAAAAAGATGACATTTTTTAAAGGTAGTTATTGTGTCCAACATTTAAAGCAAAAACAAACAATAAAAAAACCTGTGTAACATGCAAGAAAGACAGCTGCATTTATTTTAGTTTTTACTCTCATAATCCATATTGTGATAAATGATTATGTTTATCTATGTCAGCAGAGTAATGTAACTTCTGAGAATAAGCACTCCGAATGCAATTTATTGGCTGTTTATCACGGTAACTTTTCCTTTACATAGCATAAGTAGAAAGTATAACATAACATAAAATATTGGGTTAACCTTTTGCAAAAAGGCAGTGACTTGAATTTAATGGATCTTGGGTAAAAATAAATTGAATTGTGGAGAATGGTTACCAAGGATTTGACTTAATAATATCCCAAATGAAAAGTGTATAAAATAAAAATACAGGACATGAGTGTTTGAGAGCTGTTAAAAACAATTTTCAAAAGCAAGACTTTTTAAAACTAAATGTCAATATCATCAATAACTAAAGAGCTGGCAGAATACAGGAGAATTCTAAATTACATTCTTCCTAAGAAATAACCAAAGCCAGGTTCTAACAGGATCACGGGTTCCCCTCTCTAGATAAATTGAGCACTTAAAGAGGCCTGTTAACCCTTTCAAATTTAAGATATTTTACTTACAGAGGGAGATTTTCTCCCATGCAAAGAATTTGGCCTTTACCTTTCCCAATCACTTTCAGTAACACAATAAAAATGTACTGATGATTCTAGAGGCAGAATACCAGAATTTGATAACATTTCACTTCACCGATTTTACTTAGTTTAGGAAATGAAAGAATAAGAGACGCTTACGCAAGAGATCAAATCAGGGTTATGTATTGTCACTGCAGTTGTCTGTCAACACTATTCTGGGAAATGGTTATAATGTTGCAATATACAAACTAGAATTCTGCATCTTAGAGGTATATTTCCATACTAACAGAGAGAGCACAAAAAGAGTCCAGATTGACTACAACCACAGGTCCTTACTTCTCAAATAAAATCATTAAGTCATAGCCTGAAAATATTGGAACTGCAATACTATTTGAGAGTCACCCAGACAACATGTCTTCTTTCTAAAAATATGGCTTTGTTTTATATCACAATATTGATTTTCCAAACATAATGAGCCATTAAGCATCTTTCAC